GTCGAAGCCAGAGAACTACACGTATGACATCTGCATATATTTTCGTCAGCAGAGGAACATCGTTACCAGATTGAGCTCCAGAGCGGCACTGCAATTTCATTCCCGAGGGGGTATCAGCTGCACATCTCCGGCAAATGTTGACAGAGTCACCAAACCGCTGTGCCACGGTACAGACCTTACAGTCTTTGGTTAAAGAAGGAACTTTGGGTCACGTTTTGATTATTACAATGATCGCCGGAGTCTTATGCTCTTGGAAAAGACCTTTAGGAAACGTCACACACAAGAGTTACAGGTAACTGGCTATAGAAAGACTCACCATCCTGCTGTTAGGTGCGCTTGGTTCCTGAAATCCTCGGGGCAGGCCACGCAGTTCGAGAGCGGCACAGTCCCTTGAACCCCGAAAGGAGGCCTTCAGCGTGTGTGGAGAGACTGATGATGTACGGTGCTCCCGAGAAAGTGGAAGCGGCCCTAAAATGGCGACTTGAGAGCTCTCAGGATTACAGCAAGGACAATGAAAAGACTGCTAGACTCTCTGAATTCTGCAGCAGATTCGAGGCGTTGAAAAGAAGATCCGTCAATATCAGTCGGTCATGGCATCTTTGACTCATTCATCTGGGAATCAATCCTATAATGAATCGAACTCCCTACGGGATGCAGGAGAAATGGACAACGTCGGCACAAGAACTATAAAAAGGAATAATGGGTCACCTTTCCACCATTTCTCATTTGCCGGAATTTATTCAAGAATCGACCTGGTGTGAAGAACGATCCAGTTTCTGTTTGAGAGTTCTCTGGACGCCACAAAACAGCAGAAAGGACAAAGAACGCAATGAGGATCTTTCAGTCTGGACATGAGACCCTTGAAACCAGGAAAGTTGAGATGCTCTGATGACAAAGTCGAGGTTGCACCACTGAAAGGGTGTTGCCGCGATTCACAGGATGAGCATACTCTCAACAGTGCAGGAGCTTAATGCAAACCTTATATATGACACGGAGAAAAACTCTTGTGGGGAGTTTTTGGATCTGCTTCAAGTGCGGCTATCCTCTAAAACCATGCCTTTCGGCGATGTAAGGAAGCTTCTGAGATGCGAGATTGCGAGAAGCAAGAGCTAGCGACGCCCTACATGTCTGCGTCAAATGATCTACATTTACATCAGAGTTTGCATGAACGTCAGCCACCTCATGGGGGGAGTATGTGATGTGATCAGATATTATGCATAGTCGTAGTCATGAGTAAGGGTGGTTGATTATGGCTAACTGTTATAATCCATATCTGTCCAATGCTCTGTCAATCAAATCCTTGAAAGTTGTTCGGCTCGGATCATGGCTTCAATACGGATGCTGCGCAGAGGATTCCATGTATTGACGCACGCCGGAACGTAAGCAAGTTTTGTCATAACATTAACTGGACTAAGTATAATATAGTATACTGTATTTATTTTTTTTTTTTTTTTTTTTTTTTTTTTTTTTTTTTTTTTTTATTTTTTTTTTGCGCGGACTGGTTTTTTTTTTTTTTTTTTTTTTTTTTTTTTTTTTTTTTTTTTTTTTTTTTTTTTTTTTTTATACCATGTGTGATATTAAAAGATATCAAACGGGTGGTTGTGCTGTTACAGGTATTACCTGTATGCTATTTACCGTATGCCCTCTGACTCCTAAATCTACGTGAGGCTCTTTGTGTTTTTGTTATTGGTCCATTTTTGTTCGGTGATTTAGCTTGGCTCGGCTGTATTCCTTGTAAAAGCTTGCTTTACTCACAATGTTAAGTACGTCTGATAGTCAATTTGTGAACGGAAAGTCTGCTCTCATAAAGAACACTGCGTCTATTTATGTAGCCAGTACACTACTGTTTGCCAATATTTTATCTTTACAGTATTCTATATCGATTGCAACTGATAAGTTATGTTTTATGTAAATGTATTCTGAAGCCATGTCCGGCCATATCTGTGACAGTATTCTCTTATTTTATTGTTGTAGTTTTTTTTCTCACCATTTGGTTCAAGTGTCACATTAAAGACAGGCTACGTTTAGTGACTTTTGAATCCTGCTATTTATAGTAATATTACTGGACTGTTCATGTTTATTTTGAAGAAGGCAGTACCAGTTATGGTTAGCAGTTAAGGTTAGAGTTAGGGTTAGGACTAGCGGTTATAGGGTTAGGTTAGTGTTTATGCGGTTAGGTATCCTTTTCTGTTAGTCCAAGTCTGGTACACTTTGTGTATTACATATATGTCCTCGGCTTACATATCTGTAGCTACCTGTTACACAACGACCCCTGAGCGTTTATTGACTGCACATTGCGCCACATTCTTACCGCTATTGTCCCGCGCACGGATTCCGCTATTTAGTAGCAAAATTTCGCTGTTTAGGTATAAATATTTTTATACCATAATTTTGATCACATTGCGGCACAGTTATGTGATGCACATTGCGCCATCATTCTTCCCTATTTCGCGTACATATCTGCTGTGTTTAGTGAGCCATTTCGTAGTTTAATAGCACAACTCCGCTGTTTATAATAGACATTTTTTACCAACATCTTTGACTAGCATGGCCGGCAAAGTTATTGATGGACATTGCGCGCACATTCTTACCTTTTCGCGCAGCATTACGCTGTTTAGTAGCCATTCCGCTGTTTAGTAGACCACATTTCGCTGTATTAGTAGCACATATCCGCTGTTTAGCTATAATATTTCCTCGCCACATTCCTGCACATTTCGGCACATTCCTTGCACATTCCGCGCACAATTCCCTGCAATTTGCTGTTTTAGTAGCCACATTTCGCGCGTTTAGTAGGCAGTGCTCACAAAGTCCGAGTCACCAACAACTAACATTATCATTAAAGTAGGCCACTGGCTAGTTGACATGATCTCTATATCCTTGAACCGACCGCAGTGTCACTGATTGTCATCATTTATGTACTATGCACGATTGCTGTTTGCCTTAGATTATGGGCTCAAGGATGGTCCAGATGATGTCCAGGACGGTGATAGGATAGGATG